GGCAAAATCAAAAAATACTTTTAACACCAATGACTCTTTACTTACACTTAATACCTTCAAACACCACAAAGTTTATTTAAAAAGGGCGCCACAAATTATTCATGTTAACACTAACGTTGAAACAGTCCCACAACATCCAGTTAAGTTGCAGGAGAGAACCATGAAAAAGTAATATTACGTTACCGAGTGCTGCTTGGAAAAAGTGATACTGAAGATAATTTTGTTCATGTGCAAAAACTATGCTGATATGGGGTGGTCAACAAAAAATGAACTGCAGTATGCAAAACATGCAGGTCGAAGTTAGGGAGATGCAACAACTTCCAAAAAATTAATAAATAAAAAAATTTTAATGGAAAAAATAGAAATTTGAAAGCATTCATGACTTTTGAAAATTTGGTATGTTATTACTCTGCTGTTAAAATGGCATTACCTTTGGAGAAGAGCACATAAGAACTTATTTAGCACTCAAATTCTCTTTTTTGTAGTTTTTTTCATGCAACTTTTAGAAATTCACACAAACCTCTCTTTAAATAAGCATAAATTAGATCCACTTCACAGCACTTATTTAAAAAGAAAACATCTAAAGCTGGTTCGCTTGTTATTCCCATTATTTTCTTTTTTTTTCAAAACAGCGGTGAAGATTATGAGGAACAAATGCCTGGAGTTGAGATTTCATTAAAACATAATTATGACTGGTATGTTAACTGCATGACGTATTAATCAGAGCACACAAGGCCACATTGCCTTCTAAGTTACCAAATAACTGGTTGCTAACAAACAATGTTGCATTTAAAAGGCTGTGTTCAACAGATTCCAGTGCGCAGTGCTCATTCCACATGAAACTCACCGGTGGCTACATTACATCACTTCCAGCAGACTTCACGGGGAACAGTAAGGGCTGTTGGTGATCTGTTTTAACCGATTATTCTCTGGCCTGTCCCTGCTGGAACCACAAATCCACCAAATATGTTAGTGTGACGTTCACAACCAAGCATAATTTAGCACTTCAGATAACTGACACTTGACTTTCCTGTTCCTATAACAGATAAGTGAACTAACCACAGACATTTACCTCATTTGTGACTCACAGTAGTGTGCTGCTGCAATTAATGGTGCTGTACCTCTGCAGAATGAATATAGGGAAAACACTTGAATGGATATTTGCTGTCATTTTTTGCATTTAAAAAATAAGATTTCTAAGATTTCTTTGGCCTAACGGGGTTTCCCATCTCCCTGGCGGCCTGCCCAGTCTGTATAAGCGAAACACTTGTCAACTACAAATTTCTATCAACATTGTGCACAACTGCTCCACTTCACTTTCATGAAACTTATATATCATCCAAAAATCTGTTGTCGTTTAGAACAGAACTCTGGAAATCCCCTCTCGCTCAGCTGCAGTTGCTAACACAGGCCCTCAGCACTCACGAGGCACCAGCAGCCAAAAATAAAGCCTCAGTGAGTGAATCTGGAGAAACACCCACAGCCCGCTACGATCAACAACACCATCTCAAGTTTGTGTGGAGCTGCACAGACACATTAGGACACCTGTGTAATGGACATCAGACATATGCGATGTTCTGGGAAGCGAAAACACTGTTTATTGACTTGAACTTTGTTGCTTCGCCCGTCAATACCACAGATAAACAGAACACACAGTCTCCTCATTTTCTGAGAGACAACTGGAAGTTTCTTTGAGCATATCGGCTGTTGGATGGGCATGCAGCTTTGTCATCTACTCTGTTACAGCGCAAACAAGTAATAGTTGCACTGAAAAAATGGTGGGAGGAAAACTTATGCCGCTTGTTCTTAATACAGCTGCCAAAACAGGAAGCGCTGCTCTGCCCCTTGTGCTTTATTCTACTATACAGCCTTTGATATCTATTATGGAAAAGGTTTACTCATAGACGTGGCTAGATTCAGGGAGGGATCGACAAAACGTGATCCACAGTGAATATGCTCTCGATGAGTCCTTATAGATTGAGACTGAGCTTTGAGTCATCAAAGTCATCTTAAACACATCTGTGTTACTTTGTCACATGTGGATTTTCGGGACTTTATTTTTCTTTAGATTTGCCCAAGCTCGGTCAACTTGGACGGGAAGCATCTGTGCCTTAAAGCCATTCTAAAAATAAACATGAGGAGTCACGTTTGGGTTTACACTGGGCCACTCAACAAGTTTAATGCTGTTGTTCTTAAGCCTCTCCGCTGATGCTTTGAGCTGTACACTGTGCTTTGGGCTGTTTGGGTGTGAATTGTGAAAGAGGCAGTGAGAGTCAATAGCAGCTCCCAGAGTCTTTTACATGTGTTTGCATGTTGTCATATGTTGGTTTTTTTCTTCCTTATAACACAGATTCGGTGAGTGTAGTGATTACAGTCGCAGACCTCTTGTGACAGAGCATTTGGTTACTTTCTTGGCCATGTTCCCGTTTTTTTTCTTTATTTAATAATGTTAAAGATAAAATGCAATTAAGTTGGGAAGACGCAGCTGGGGAGTTTCAAGATATATTCAGCCCTGCATCTTTAATCTTAGTGGCCGCTCAGAGCTTCTTTTTTTTTTTTTTTTTTTGCAAATTGTTTTTGTGCACATTTATGAGAAACAACCAGCCATTGGGCAGTACAGATGTTTATTCAGTCCAATACCAGGAAATCCTAATTCTCTTATATTTCTTGGGTCTGTGTTCATGAGGTGGAGTCACACAGATCAGGATAAATTTAAAACATTTTTATAACCAGCAAATGAGTCTTTGCCTCGCTTTGAACCAAGCAGAGCAAATCCATCTGGATGCTTCTTCTCAAGTACTTTTTTTGCGACTTGTTTTAGACCACATTTTAAGAGGTGGGAGTCTTGACTATCACACTGTCTCTGTGTGTATGTTCTTGATTTTAAGGATCTAATTGACTTTTGGGCAGGATTTGTTTTTATAGCCATTATTAGATAAAAGAGAAAAGCAATAACATGACCAGTGTAATCAGTCCTATAGATGGTTATTTGAGCTGACCTCAATCACTTTGCATAATCACTGGATTCCAAAATCAAGTTATTTAAAGCCAAATGTAGCAACAAACAGAAAGTGAATTAGGTAAATTGTCTAGTAGATAAAGTGTCTACCTGAGCACAAGGTTCTAATATCAGGGAAAAATCCTGGAAAAGTGAGCTTGGCTGTCAAGATCTTATTGTTGTATGACAGGTTTTTCTGTTTCAGCTCATATGAGATCATTTTCCTTGCTTCCGGAACAAGATAATGACAGAGAGGTGCCAATAAGGCGGGTGTCTTAATTTATGGTGGAGAGCCTCCCCTACAGGTGCAGCCGTGGGTTTGACAGCTCTGGGGAAAGTTATACAGGAGCTGTCGCTTCCATCCAGCTTCTCTAATTAGATTAGCGAAAGAGACTGGTTTTGGATTCGCTCAGACTAGACAGGTGTCGACGAAGAAATTAGCAGTAGAGTTGTCTAGAAGTAGTGGGCGAACAGTGTGTTACCCTGCAGTGAGACAAAACAAAGTCTCCCGTGTGCTTTCCAACCACAGATCAGAAATGGTTAACAAAAGCAACATGTTTCCTCATCCGATATGTTGGCCTGTTCATTAGTTTTGGAGCAAGTGTGCAGCATCGTGAGAGTTGAAACAGTGTTGCAAACTATTTGAAGATTAATTGACACCCCTTTGCCAATGATCACACAATTTAAATGAGCAGCCATTAAGATTAACAGCATAGAGTTAGAAGTCACGTTGTAAAGCCAAACACAACAGCACTGCTTTGTGGTCAGCTGTTAATAGCAGTTATTTCTATGACAATTAATCATCAACTTAAATTCATGATTGTAACAGCCCTGGTGTTACGTACAGACATAAGTGTTGATGGAGGAGAATAACTGTGGCGTGCATAACTTGTACAGTCCTCTCACTTCTAAAAGGGCATTTATTTGTTGTGTGACAGCCAGGTATTACCAAAGTAAAAGATGGGTTGTTTAGTTGACAATGTTTGTTGCCCGTACTGGATTTATACCAATTAAGATGGATAAAGCCTGTCATTTGATCTGAACGGCTGTGAGAACTCGGTAATGGCTGATGTCATGTTATTTTCCGAGGCAGCAGGAGATTTCATCATTGTAATAGAATAGACTTTGATCATTTAGCTCCCACACACCATCAAAGTCTCACTTGCTCCGAAACAAAAAAGACACACACACACATATACACACATACACTCCCATACACACTGCTTGTTATGTTAATGGTGAGCATGTACTTTAGTATATTGTTGGTAATAAAGCTATTGACATTTCTTTGATCACAGGGATTGCCTCTCTCTGAGGAATACATACGAGAGGATTAAGACACCTGTCTCCTGTCACGAACCAATTAGGGGAGACAAATAAGTGTGTTGCGTGTGGTTATATGGATTGGCTAGTGTGTGCAGTGTACAGCGATGAGCTTGTGTTGATAATACAGACTTTAGGGATTGAACACAAGACCCACATCAGTCTAGTTTAGTTTTACTTCTATTTTTTTATTTTGCACGCAGCTGTTGGCTGTTGATTTTTCCGATGGTGTCTGGGCGATTGCATCAGTCGCCCACAAAGGACAAAAAAAAAAAAAAAAAGAAAGAAACTTGAATGTAATTAGGGGCTTATGTTGTAGCCATTGTAGCAGAATGCAACGCTGAGTAAGTCTGTCAAAACACTTAAGTCCTGTTGCTAGGCCCCCCACAAGTTCCCATATACTGGCCTGCATTGCTCTGCATTTGCACTGGTACATTAACCGTTGTGTTTTTTGCCTGTCTGGCTGCTTGATATGCTGGAGAACTGAACTGTACATATTTTCACATTCATGTGGTTCCTTTTTGTGTGCATTATTGTCAAGTTTATGGTGTCTAATGTTACTTTTTTCTTCTACTTCTCTCTTTGCGCTGGAACAGTAATGATAAAGTATCATGTATGATAATGTGTTGGGAGTAGACGATGCTCAGTAAGATCCTCTTTTTCTGTTGTGTTTTGGCAGACGGTCAGAAGAGGAAGTTGACATGGACAAGGTGACGGCTGCCATGGTGCTGACGAGTCTCTCCACCAGTCCTCTGGTCAGGAGTCCACCCGTCAAAGTCAACGGTGGGTATCTCAGCTATTAAACAGCTGATCAGGTTGAGGACAGAGTGGGTTCTGACAAATTCAATATGCTCTAAACTACACGGCTTTAAATTAATCTTTGGCTTTGATGTATCATTTCCGCCCTCGCAGAATCTTTATGAAAAATGAACCTGTGAAAAGAGTAGCGCAGCCCAAGCCCGTAATTTGTATGTTCTGCTATACGCTGACTTTTCATTCCCTCACAGCTGTTATCTTGTGAATGCATGTGGAAGCTTAGGTTGATAAATTACTGCCACCTGCAGTGCCTGAGGATGCTCTCATCAATGAGTTCTGCAAATCCTCAGAAAAGCACAATGAGTCTGGATCTCTGCCACCCTGCACAGTGGCGGAAATCCGAGGAGTCACATGCAACCACTTAGATAGTCTGTGCAACACAACAACCGTCCATTCAACCGAGCGGACATGCAGCCAACCCTCCAGCCACCATGCACGTGTTATCGCAGTCACACACACACATGCGGTCAGATGTAAAATGTACATCACATACATCATGCACACATGCACAAAGTGGGTTCTAAATACCAACTGCACATCTCTATCTTAATGTAGTCATACACATGTCACATCCATGTACACAAGTTGGAGATCATAAAATGTGCATTTACATCAGTACACACAGTGAGTTCTCATGCATTGTGCACCATGGCTCACATTTTATCCTTATAATCGGAATTGTGATTCTTCTATTGCATTAGCTCCAAGTCTCATTGAAAGGTGCATACCGTACTTTAAAAATTCTTATCTTGATATTATTTAATCAAATGGTTAAGAAAGACTGAGAGGAGAAACAATCCAGCAAGAAGGAGCTTTACTAAACCAATCAAACAGCTCTTAACTTTCACCCTCTCTGACTCATTCACACACACACCTCAAAAACACACACAGGCTTTCTCATCCACACTTATTTACACACTCAAAAGTTTCCCCCAGCCTCAACCTTCACAAAGTAAAATGTCTTTGTAGCAGATATTCAAAAGAAACGTTTCTTTGATCTAAAAAAACAGACCTTGGTAGTGTCTCAGCGGATCCACGCAACAAGAAAGTAACCTTTTTGTTTTTGTGTCACAGACAACAGTAGTGCTGGGAGGCTCTTTGTGTGAAGTGCAAATAAAGCTGTCTGAACTTAATTGAATGTCTTGATCTTCCATCACTGACAGAGGAACACCCACACATTTGTTGTGGTTGTATCATCTACAAATATGACTAAAGGAGTTGGATTTATTTTTTAGAATTGCTCTCATGATCCCAACGTCCCTTTTCTTTACCCCATGTTCTCTATTCTTCTGTCCTCCCTCTGCTCCATCCCTCCTCTTCTCACCTCCATCTTCTCAGAAGGTCTGAGTGGTTCATGGAAGGACAACGGCTCATCTGGCCCCTTCACCCCATCTAGCAACAGCTCCTCAGGGGGCTACTGGAGCTGGTCTGCCCCCAGTGACCAGTCCAACCCATCTACACCTTCTCCACCGCTCTCGGCCGACAGCTTCAAGCCCTTCCGTGTGCCCAGTCTGGGCGGTGTGGGACCAGGCCCTGCAGGACCAGAGGACCCCAGCCTGGATGAGCAGGACGGCAGCAGCCTGCTCTTCGATGAGCCCATCCCTCGCAAGCGCAAGGTGAATACTGTAAAGCATGTCTGAGTTGAAAGCTTGATCAATCTCTCCATTATTTTCTAGATTAATCAGTTAGTTGTTCAGTCTGTTAAATATCTTAAAATGAAAAATGTTTATCAGTGTTTCCAAAACATGACATCCTCAAATTGTCCAGATAAAGATATTTCGTTAACTGTCACATAGTGGTGAAGAACCAGAGAATATTCACCTTTAAGATGCTGGAATCTGTTCTTATGAAAATACTCTAACTGTGTAATCCATAACCAAGAGTTGATGATTAATATGATAGTTGACAACTAATCAATTATTGGTTGCAGCTCTTGTTCAATGGCTGAAAGAAAAGTCCACAAAAACTTGGTGAAGTAATAAGTAAAGGCATTTTTACAACTGAATAGGCGCACACAGGGAGAAATCATTTATTACTACAATTATAACTGTTTGGAAAACGACACTAGACAGTAAGAAAACAGCTACATCTCCTCCGCATCCTCTCTTTGTTGGCAAACATCAAAATAGCACATCACAGCCACCATCTGATACAACGTGGAACAGACACAGCCCACTTCAGTGTTTCCCACAGAATAAGAATCTGTGTTTGTCACAGTTTGCAGAGTTTGAGTCGCTTTGTGGATTTATCAGTTGATCTGATCAGATTAATGGATGAGAGAGCAAACAGAGCACAGTAAAGCTTTGAGTGTGTTGCAATGAATAACCGAATGGTACATACAGTATATATTCCAACAGCACTTCTCATAAACAGTCCAGCTCCAAAAAAAACTAAATCAATATGTGGTGGCAGTTGTTGTTATGGCGGGATGCCACAAATATATGAATGTGTGGGAAACCCTACACTTACTTTGGTTCAACCTCTGTTTAGTCTCCTCCTGCTCTTCTTGATCACTTGTAATGTCTTAAAGCTCCAGTTGGTAACTTTCATGAAAATAACCTTGTGTCATATGTGCTGAACCTGTCACTGCATCCTCACAGAATTACATGAGTCAGAAAGTCTGTGAGAAAAATCGTCCTCCTCCTCCTCCTGGTAGTGCTTCTGATGGCATTTGCTAGAATCTACCAAAGTGCACCAGAAACAACCAATCAGAGCCAAGCTGTCAATCATATTGATCACAGCTCGTGAACTGCAGTCAAACTGTCAAACTAGGCAGTGGCTAGTGCAGTGCAGCAACAGAATCTTGATTCATATTTGATCAGAGCTGCCTAGTTTGACCGCAGTTCATGAGAGAGTGATTGACGAGAGGCTCCTCGCCTCAGATTGGTTGTTGTTGCTCAGGCACAGTGGATTCTTGCAAATACTATTGGAAGCACTAAGAGAAGGACAAATATGATTTTTTTTTTTCACAGATAATCTATCTCATGTTCTACTGTTTGGACAGGGTGAGTTATTTCTCATAAGTTACCAACTACAGCTTTGATGTAGCAGAACTCAGTATATATCTACATTTACTTTTTCAGTTTCTGTTGTCAGACAAAATAGTGATTTGGGTGCCACCCATTAATCAGCTCATCAGTATTTCCTGGGCCGCAGCACTGAGACGTCAATCAAGTCACTATTTTACTATTGTTTTTATTTTGCCATAAAAGAACAGCCTACTCGTAACAGGCTTGTCCAGATATTTACCAAAGAAACAAAAAGACAGATTCAATTTAAAAGCTGGTCACTAAGATGTCTGATTAGGTAAACATATAGTATATACAGGAAAAACACACACCTGCATTGTGTGACCAGCTATACTGATATATAGTTGTCTTCATGCACACCTCCAAAAGCTCTGTTTTTCTGTACACAATTTAAAAAGCAGCATTATTGAAAGGATTTGTTCCAGGCTGAAAATGCAGTGTAAGTCATGTTTTATTTTGGATAGAGGACCAAAGTGGGGGGGGAGGGGGGGGGAATTCAGATAAAGGTATCTTGGTATGGACAAGACATAAGTCACTTTTAAAATAATAAACCTTCAAAAATGTATTTTTAAAAGCTGAAGTCTCTCATCCTGCGACTTAAATTAGCCACTAGTTACTTCCTCAATCCTCGCAGTTTCTTGGAAATAAAAAATGTTTAACGATCACAACCTTATGTGCCCTGGAAGGTTTAGAGTTTTTCTTTTATTTCAGTGTGGGGCTGTCACAGTGTTACATATTACAGGGGTTTAAAAGAGAATGGCAGCAGCTCTACTGATAATAACAGGCAGATCTCTCAATAAGAAGCTGTCAGATGTAGCCCAGCAGCTTGATTCCCTCCTTCAACACACTCTGATATTAACCTATGAGGTTACGGATGTAGTTTGGGCTGATTGGCGAGATGAATACGTGGCAGGAAGGAGCACACAACCTTTTTGCTTCACTGGTAGTTTTGTCATTGCTACCCAGATTTTATGAGCACAACACACACACACACACACACACACTCATCATTTCAACTCGTCTCATTTCTACACACCACTGACAGCTCATCACATCCACAGCTCAGCGTCACTCATTATTTTCTCAGATGTATATTGCTTTGCTCTCCCTGTTAATCTCTCCCTCTCTCCTTATCAGCACTCCTACTCGCCGGTTTGTCGTCTTCTGTCAGTATCATCCATCTATCCTTCCTTTCGCCCTCTCGCCCCCTTTCTTCGCTGCTTCCTCTCCTGCTCTCGCCCTTGTTTTCACCCCGTCTTCCCTTGCTTTGTTCATACATGTGTGTGTGTGTCCTCTCCAGACATTTGCCCTTCATAATTACTTCTCAGCCTTCACATGCAGCCGCTCTGCAACAGCGGTAATGATTTTAATACCCACTACAGCAAACATAAAGATCCTGTTGGCTTCATGCTTCCTCTAAAAATCGATAGACTCTTGGGTGAGCTCCACATTGTACTGTATTAACTGGGGACTTATCACAAAGAAGGACACTGAGTGGGAGAGAGAGAGATGTAGTAGTGGAAAGGAGGAAAGCATGGAAGGTTGTGGATGAGAGGGAAGAGAGACTGGAGCATGGATGAACAGATTTTTTAAGATTGGATAACAATGTAGTTGACCAGTATGAACACACACATGCTTGCTACATGTGCGACGTGGAGGTTACACATGAAATTATCTACGCTCTTCTCTTGTGCTCTCGATTCTCTCTTGGCAAGACAATACCATCTGGACCTCACCATTTAATTAACTGTGAAATGCGTCTTTAAAAGGGAATAACACACACTTAGACACACAAACACACACACACAACAGGCCTTTGTTACCCAAAGACAAAACAATGCACAGAGGGGGGGGCAGATGATTGTTGTGTGTGCACGCGTTTCTGAAAAGAGGAGGAAAATTAAAGAAAAAAAACCATCTTGTCAAAATTAAATCAGCCTCCTCAACAATAGTTTGACAGACAGGCCTATAAGAGCGTTTATAATGGCTCAGAGCGGGGAGGCAGGAGGGCAGGGAGAAAGCACACAGGGTTTTTCACTCCGCAAAAAACAATGTACAGTCTCTCTGGGATGCCAGTGGTGTAATTACAGTAGATGGATAAGAGATACAGGATCCTTGCCAGCTCACGACCAGAGGAGAATTTACTGTTATTTGGCCTCCCTCAGCTCCCAGATAAATGTGTGTAGAGAATAGCGCCACAGGAAGATGTTACAGTAAAGCTGTACGTTCACACCATGACAATGATGAAGGAGCATCTGGTGTTAAGTTGTTTGATTCCTTTGTTGTCGATATACAGTGAATATTCACAGTTTTTCTTTACTGAAGTTAAGTTTGACAGCACTGGCAATATGAGATGAGAAATAAATTTAAAAAATAATAATAATAATGATGATAACGTTTTGATTCAAAAACACTAAAGACTTCAGATTTAAAAATAGAAATATGATGAACTGACTTATACAAATGTTGTTTTATGCCAAAGAAAATCAAATAAATGTCTCTTCATTTCATTTATTTCTGTGAAGATAACTTAAAAAGAAAAAATGTTATTACAATGCGTTGAATATCATATGAAATATCCACAAAATATGTCACTGAGTCAGAGGTTGTCCATTTACTCAATGATAGAAAAGGGGTCCCTCAGGGAATAAGGTTGGGAACCATAGATCTTGTCTAATCATGTGGCTTAATCCATGTGTTTATTTAGGCCCACTTTACACGTATACAGATATTTTGAAAAGGGATATAAGTCTGTCCACATATGATCTTTGTTTTACAAAATATCTTTGTCCACACTAAGTAGTTAAGTGCACAGGCTGACGTTACCTTTTTCAAAACACCTACTAGAAATCTCCTCACGGTTGATTTCCCCTTAAATATAAGGATGGCGGAGCTCACTCAGAGATATTAGTGCTGCTCTGGACATCTTAAGTTTTCCTTCCATTCCTCATTGACAACAATCCCACTCTGGATTTTGTCCCACCATCTGCTGGTTTGACCGGACCCGATCCTAAACTGCTGTTTCTGGTGGACTTTAAACTGTGCACGCTGTGGTTGAGCAAAATCACTGGGAGCAGCAGACGCCTTTGTTCGTCCTTACAGAGTTGCAGCAATATTAAGTTTAAGGGTATAGTAGTCATTAGCCCAAGCAGTACTACCAAAATGTCCATTTTCATAAATATCCGTATACGTGTAGACAGGGCCTAAATAAAGTCTTTGGGATGAAAACGGCATGACACGCTGACATCACACACAGCAAACCCTCAGGATACATCACTTTCCAGTCTCTCAGTGATACTGCACGTCAGCTGTGTAAAAAAACATCACTTTTATCACATTCACTCCCCAGATTGGGACATCCCAGCTACTGTACCTCACCAACATCTTCTGTCTGTATGACACATCCTGTTGTGTGCTGTGGGTGTTGGTACACATCTAGTGAATGCAGCTGATGTGTGTTGCACTGAGGGTTTTTGAGAGAGCTCTTGGAGTTCCCAGCATAGTGAGAAATACTTAAATCTACAGTAGTTTTTATTAAGTATGCATAGTTTTTATTGCATCGACATCATCTCATATCATCTCCGTCCAGTCTTTCAGCAACTTCACTGATTGCTGCCAATCCCAAATAATAATTAACAGTTAAAAATAAATCAACAAGTCCTAAAATGACCCCTCGAAAGCTTCCTGTAGGTGAAAAACAGAGCCTCTGTTACACTGAGCAATCAATATGTTTGTATGTTATGCAGTCACCTGAGAAGCCTGAAGCATTTACCTCCTGCCTGATAATGACGGGGAAATCGAAATGAAATGATGTACTTTAGGACGGCTGACCTACCCTGGAGGAAAAAAATACCAGATGTATTTCACCCTCTGTAATTTAGAGATGGATAAATGAATGAGTTGTATGCATATATCATGAGAAAAATGCCCAGGGAGTTCATGTGCACACATCTGATTGCTTGTCATTTACTCTGTGGTTATAGAGGAATGCTGTTGTAAAGTTAATATGAAAGCGTTGAACAAACAGGGATGTTATACTGTGTAAGAAACCATGAATTGACAATGATTGTTGCTCTTTTTGCTAACAAACAAAACATATTTCTGTCAGCACAAAGCCTTTGTTTTCTGACTGTAGCTGCTGTACTTTGTGTTTCTTGCAGAACTCCATGAAGGTGATGTTCAAGTGCCTGTGGAAGAACTGTGGCAAGGTGCTGAGTACCGCTGCTGGCATTCAGAGACACATCCGCACCATCCACCTGGGGTAAGACACCAACACACACACATCAGTGGGGTACTTGCGCTTGCTATTTTGAGTCCACGAGTGTGTCCACACTAAGGAGCATGGCAAAATGCAGTGCACGATGAGTACCCAGATGGTGCACTCATATGAGTCAAACAGTTGAGTGTGGAACGTTGGATGCTTCTCACCCTCAGTCGTTGTCATGTTGCCTGTGTGGCGGAAGGGGCGGGTCCAAAAACTCATTCATATTTGTGAAATGTTGGCAGACTACCGCGGTAAACACCAAAGCATGGTACAAATTTACATGTGTGTTTTTCTCTAACACTGTACTGTTGTCAGAGGCCATCAGTTTGTTTATTGGGTTAACCCTGTACTAATTTGGTACCACATTGATAACCCTAATGCTGATGTCTCAAATTGTCGTCCTCACTGTAGAAGATTTCAGTATTAGATTTGTGTTCAGATGCTTGACAAGCTGTAAATATCCACAAAATGCAGCAGCTATAATTAACTCTGTAGAACAGCTGGTGATAGAGCCAGCCACTGACATTCAGAGATATAGAAACGTGTCGTGAAAGCATGCTCATTTTTAATACAAAAACACAGACATACAGCTTGTATATATAAGCATGTATCTTGGCAAGTAACAATTGTTCGTTAATATTGGTCAAAGTGTTCCGCACGGTTGTGATTCACCAAGCACGGGAAGAAAAGCTGCCAGATCTGTTAAGTGCACAACAGCCTGGTTTGATAAGAGACAACACTACCCTGTCACATTCCCGCACAAGACAAGCACATAGTGAACAGAGTGTACTGCATCTAAGTGTACTAACTGAAGAATCTGATTTAAGACACAGCAAAAGCCTCCAAAACAGTTCTTTCACTTCCTCTCAGCCCTCCAACCAGCTGCATTGTCATAACAACAGATTAATGGCTGATGGATTATCGCCACGGCAACACTTCCTGCTCTGGGAGTGAGGGTGGAGGTGGAGAACAATGATATCAGATGAATCACACATTCATACTGACATTCAATTAAACTGAGGTCCTCCACTGATTAACTGCAAATGACAGTGTTTTGCTGGTTGGAGGAATGACATTAATGTTGGGGGGGTGGGGGGGGGTGTCTCTGATTGCACGGACGCATTTTGTTGTACGTGTGCAGTAATCAGCATTCATAGGGACATTTTATGTTTCTCTCTGTTTGTCCTCTCTCTGTATCTGTTGTTAGGCGTAACTGCGACTCGGACTGCAGTGACGGCGAGGAGGACTTCTACTACACGGAGATCAAGCTCAACACGGATTCCGTGGCCGACGGGTTGAGCAGCCTGTCCCCTGTGTCCCCGTCCGTCCTCTCTCCCCCTCCTCCTCCCCCCTCTCCTCTCCCGTCTCTCAGCCAGCTGGCGGACTCCCACAGACCTCCGCAGTCCTCTGACACCAAGGAGCCTCACGCTGGCGGCACCACCCCACTCAGCCGCTCTGCGCCCAGCGCACTCTACCTCATCCACACGGACCACGCCTACCAGGTGAGAGGGTGCAGGGAGCAGATGAAGCATACACGTAAACACACACTCACACAGGCGTGAGTAAGATCACTATACACCACACACACTCGATCAATGCACTCCCTGGATCAATACACACACACCACAACACACTTGTCAGGTCACACACACACTCACACACACACACAAAATGCACATATTTTCTCTCACACACTATCAGGGTCCTCATTATCCTGATGATGCGTCACAGTGTTTCCCTCGCTCCCGTTAGCAGCTGTGCTAACAGTTGTGGTATATCGACACACAGCAGCAGGTTTGAACAATTAATGGTAGGTGAAGTAATGACACAATCCATCACTTAATTTGACAGTGTAGCTGTGTAGCTACGTGTTTTAACAGAAACATAAATTATTTGTGCCTGAACAGATTCTACAAAGTGAGACACTTAAAGCCTGCTCTTGAAATGAGCCCTTTACTGCAACAAATGCAACCAGTTTTTCTCAGGATCAGTTTGAGATTTAATGTTTACAAATTGGTCTGATGCTTTTCAAGCAGCAAAATGGTTTTAGAGTCATTTGGGACATGCCTGATGTTCAAGTAATAATATAATAATTGTCAAAGAATTGTCCTTTATTAAAATTAAAAGCAGTTACAAAACCATAGATACCATTTAATGACTTTATACAAAGATAGAGGGCATGACTGCTCCCCAAAAGTGAAGCCAAAGCATCTTGATCGCCCCCTCGTGGCTGGCTGCAGGATAGGTCATAAACCCCACCCCCTAAAAAAATCAATCAAAAATCAAAAGTACATGTCAAATGAGATTTTCCCAAAGATGGTCTCTGTCATTTTTATGTAGTTCTGATCACGCTGTTGTTACCTCCGCCAAGCAGGTTATGTTTTCACCAGCGTTGGTCTGTTTTTCTGCAAAATAACTTGAAAAGTTCTGAACGGATTTTGATGATATTTTCAGGAAGGGTTGATAATGGGACAAGGAACTGATGATAATATTTTGGTGGTGATCGGTTGAAGCAAAGTGGATAAAATAATAAAATGGCGGGAAATCCAAGCTGCTTGGCGGAGGTCTGCGCTCTCCGAGTGCTCTAGTTTGTTCAAGTGCTCGTTTGTTCTCATGAGTGTGGTTTTAATCGGTTATTTATAGGTAGGAACTTTATACTGTGTCTCCACTTGTTGATTGCTATGGTGCAGATTCTGGCTCCAAATGACATCACCAGCATAAGATGGCAGCGCCCTTATTAGGGAGATTTTGGCTTCATTTTTGTACAATGAGGAGGAAGTCATTGTTTCATACAGTCTGTGATACCATTGCACATAGTTCCAGGATCTCTTTTCAACGTCTTAAATGTCGACTCCATCTGTGTTCTTTTCCGGGTTTGTCAAATAGAAACAACCACTGAGCTGTTAGCAAAAGCAGTGAGGTAGTTTAGAGCCCTGATAATAACAATAACTGAAATAGATAGCTCAGAGTAATATATAATAATAAAGTAATACATTTTATTTAATACAGTTTTCATTAAAAGAAAAACAAGGCAGACAATCAACAAACCAAGCAGCAGTAACAAAAAAGAAAAACATGAAAAGGCACAATGTGATTTACAGGTCAGGGTCTTGAGAATGAAACATACTTTAGAGAGGCCACAGAAATACTACTGCTCCACATGCATCCTTCCATTTGAGTAGAAAATACCACCATTCTCACCTTTGACCTCTGCCCTCAGGCCACGGCTCCAGTGTCCATCCCGTCCAGCAGCAGTAACTCGACCGGCCCCGCCTCCACCAGCTTCACTCCCACCAACAGCTCCAGCTTTAGCATCTCCTGGCAGTCGCCGCCTGTCACCTTCACTGGGACCACAGTGAGGAAACTTTAATGCAAGCTTTTATTCTCAGCCTCATACATACATAGTCACATTTAGTGTCTTACAATGACACATTTGTCCTCCCTCATCAGGTGTCCCCCAGTAAAAGCCAGGGCTTCGGGGAACAGCGCTCCCAGACCATCGCCGTCCTCTCGTCCCCTCCCAGAGCCACCACTGCCCTCAGGTACTGGATCCTCACAAACTGAAAGAACGTATCCGATATTACCAAAGGACAACTTACATTTGTGATGTGGTTTTCTACCTCGATTAAACCTGAGTGAAAAACACCTCATGAGGTAGACGGTGAAAAATATTGACTCTCACAAATCAGCTCAATGACTCTTAATTAAAAAAAGAGTCATGATCAATCAGCTCTGATTTGCCTGATCCACTTCAATAAGGAGCCAAGCTGTTTTAGATTGTATGATCATTGTGTGATTTCTATTTAACATATGAGGACTTTGTTGTAGCTGTGATTAAAAAAGGCTACACTGGGGCTGTATTTAAAGGGCCAGTTCACCCCAAAATCAAGAATACATATTTTTCTTCTTATCTGTAGTGCTGTTTATCAATCTAGATTGTTTTGGTGTGATTTGTTGAGTGTTGGAGATGTTTGTGCTCATGATATTGTTAAAAAAGATAATAATTTGAAAGATAATTTAAACAAAGAAGAAAGAAAAAGATAATAATTTAATAATCTTCTCCATCATGTCAGTTTCATCTAATATTCTCTGTTTCCCCTCCTCAGTCGGAAGGTGCGCGGTGAAGGGAAGAAGTGCCGTAAGGTGTACGGGATGGAGAACCGCGACATGTGGTGCACTGCCTGCCGCTGGAAAAAAGCCTGCCAGAGATTCACCGACTGAGCATCGCCCCCACCAACTTCACAGTGCGCCACGCCAATGGGCACTGCTGCCTTTCGCCAGAGAAAGGGGGGAGGGGCGTCATTTTGCATGCATTTGGTTTTCTTCAACTCAAAATCGCAACTGTCCGTCAAGCTCTGGCTCCGCCCCTGTCGTCACCCCTCCCTCTCCTCAGCTCCACTGAACCATTCCAGCTGTGGAAGGAACCAAAGGACAGCGGAGTCACCTTTTAAATTGCCGTCCAGGATTCCCAGTACTGCCTCACCATTCCCACCATTCCCAGTTTTGGGAAACCCCAGTGCAGCTAAACAGTGTAAAGAAAAAATAGATCTAAATATTTCTCCTGTTTTTTTATGTTGGGTTCAGTGTTGCATCTTTCTATGTTTTTTAAAGCTCTGGTTTTTAAATGGAAAGTCTAGTCAAAGAAGGGGTCCGGAAAAAAGGCCAAAAGCTTTTTTTGTGTGTTTTGTCAAAAGAGAAAAAAAACCTTCACTTTTTTATCCAAAAGAAGAACGGGCCTCTTTGCTGCAGTTTCTGAAGAACGTTATGAGAAAAGCACGGAGGTAATGCTCGCAGTTTTTGTTCTTCCTTCAACGTGTCCATCTCTTGTTTTATTTCTGGATGTTTTGAGGTGATCTTTTTTCACCGACATCACAGCCTCTCCCGGCTCCTCACCTGTTCTTCACTCCTGACAGCCCCGAGGGAATGTACGGCGGCACCGGAGAGGGCAGGTAGAGAGAAAGTGAGGAAAAGAGACACACAAGGTGAATGATCAATGCAAAAAAGATACAATTTGCAGTCAGGGAAAGCAGATGGACCATGCCGGTGATTTACCACATGAAAAAAGCAGCATACACACAGAGGAATTACCACACAATCAAAGCAGAAGACAGGAACTGTTTTCTATGTCACTTTTTTACCCAGCTGATTCATTTTCTTTGTTTTATCAGGGATGTGATTCTAAAGAAAGCAAAAACCAGCAGCTAAAACTTGGGGTTATATACTGTATACTGCACAGTCTCAATAGCTTCTCTCTTTCATGACACATGACAACTTTGCAACCAAAAACTTCTTTATCTTATTCTTTATGTTTTTGGTTTTTGCTAAGGTGCCATGTTTACTGTTGTTGATGTAGAATTTTTTTTTCTCTCTCTTTCGGTGAAACCAAGACTGTTTACCTGCTAAAGAAAGTGTGTTAAAAGACCTTCCTGACAGCACTGGAAGCGTGAAGTCGGCAGCGTGTGAGGCCATAAAATGATAAACATCTCTGACCACATACAGAGAGACAGATTGCCCTCCTCCTCAACTAACTTTTACACCTTCCCAAAGGAAACAAAATATCTTTATGTTTACGTACGCCACATGGGCGCATCTTGATGATCTGTTGAAAAGGAGGAGGGCTGAAAACTTAAAGCACTTTTGTGGTTTCTTCTATTGAGTTGAAAATGTTCCTATCTTCGACTGGCCCTTTTCATTTCCAATTTATTATAAAAGGAAGCAAGAGCAAAGTTAATATTCCCCTATTGAACCTTCATTTGCTCCACGAGTTTTGGTAGAATAAGGTCTAAGCACTTGATTAGGTCACTCCTTCGTTGTTTAATGTGCACTGCACACTTTATACACTTGGCGACATGCAAGCAAAGCTTAAGTCCTCGTGTCTGTCACGTAACCTTGTTACTGCTGAGGTAAAAATATCTGATTTGTCATTTGAATGTGTTCATTTGAATTCCAGCCTCCCTGTCGGCTCAAAGGCAGGAAACAAAATCACAAAGGCCAAATGGTTTACAGATGTTCACTCTGTATGATAAATGGACCAACTCTTTGTCACCCGGGGCTGCGCTCCACTTTATTATAGCGTACTGATATTGATAGAAGTGTCCTGCAAATGTTTCTACCAACAGGCACGTTGTGATTCTGTTTCTGCATTTACTCTCTGCGTTATATGAAATTTGCTTGAATGCACGCTGAAATCTTTGTTGGCATTTCACACAGGATTAGTATTTTACCCTGGAATTATTCAAAACCAACACCAGCTTATAAACTCACACGCTCAGCCATTTAAAACACAGTACAGTACTTCTGCACCTGAAAATTGTAGCTCTGTTATGTTTGCTCAGCTGTTTCTGTCGATATCTATTTTTTTTTTGTGTCTGTTTATGTATATATGTAATTTGTGTACTTTTGCTAAGCTCCATGTTTATGGCCAATTACCTCGGTCATTACGTTTGCCACCTTTGAACAAGACAGGTTCATGTACGACATTGGGTGAGGAAATAATGTACCGGTCAACCTGTCGGGCTACTGTTGTTTTGAATATAGGGATAGCCTTAAAGTCACTCTTTAAAAAAATCTTTGTGCTTCTTATATGTCATTACATCGATGTTTCAGTAAGAAATATTTAGATTATCTCCAAACTGATTTGCCATTGTATTATGTGAACGCATTATTGTTTAAGAAAAGACAAATCTATATATACGTAAAAAAACATGTTGGAGTTTAAATTCAGAGCAAAAAAAAGACATTGATTTGGCTGTTTTTATTTTTTTCATATATATATGAATATATACTGTATATGGATTTTGTTTTCATGTTCTGCTGAAGGATTTTTTTGTGGCTAACTGCAGGAGGGAGCCCAGGCATAATTCTCACAGCAAGCAAAGCTTGTTATGCTCTTTTCAGTGAGTGTGACCCGCACGCTCCCGCCTGGAGCTCCTTCACGTCACGCTCCCCACTGCCGGCGCTGCTAAGCGGTCGAAATCCACAGTTGATTAAAACCTTTATCTTTTTCCAGTTCTCGTCTCGTGGTGCCGCGCAGGCCCACTTGCAATTAGTTTGATTGACATCTCGGTGTGTTTGCGCTCATGTGTGCGGTCACACGCTTCTAAGTATGAACGTGAAGGAGCCCCGGGCAAAGTGTGCAGGCGGCCACTGAAGCACGGTGCTCTGCCCCCCCCTCCCTCCCTCCAGGCGTTACTCCCCCTCCTCCAAAGGAGTTACACACCTCTGTCAAATGGCCTGTGGCGTTTCCCTTTCAGGCTCCTGACAAACGACACTTTGGGGTTTGAGGATGTTTTTGTTGGTCCAGACGTCAGTGTTTGGATGTGGCTGATGTTTTTATTAACTCCATGCACTTCCCACTGCCCTTTCTCCATCATTGTGGTGCTTCATGTTTGTGTGCAGACGCTCTCCTCCATTGGTGTGTGGAAAAATCTGGCAGCCAATCAGATTCTGTCCAGGAACAAGTCCCTGCAGTAGTTCAGATCATTCAGAGGTTCTGGCAAGACTGGATATTTGAATGGCAGCATCTCCAGGCAGCTAATTTTAAAAGAAGCTCTCTCCTGATGCTGATTAAGGTCAGCATTGTGTCGACCAAATGGCTAGTAGTAAGATTTGGCCAAAATAAGCTAATTTCACCCTGGTTTAGGGAAGTTCTCAAATTGATATTTGCTGCCATATTTCTCAAACCCATCCATCTCCTTAGTGAGGAACTCTGGGATTTGTTTGTGGACTGTGGCCTGGCCTGCATCGTTGTACTGAGAACATCTTGGTCCCATTCACCGCCAATGGCACAAAGATGGCCTTAGCATTAAGGGGCTTTTTTTAAAACCGCCCAGCCCAGGTCTGTCTTCGCATACTGTGCACACTGGTGCTGTGGCCTCTCTCGGGGGAGAAATGGAGGTGCTATATTCCCATGCAGTGCTGTTGTCCTCTGATATTTACTCCATTTTGTACACAATGTTATGCTGTAGAACATGAAAATAAAAACACCCTGCCTCAAGCCTACCAAGTGTCCGAACACCAGTTAGTGAGTGGGTCGCCCCGAAACCTCTGTGCTCTCTTCTGCTTCCTCATCAGCTCTGATGGTTTTGTTTTGGTGACTAGTGCTCATTGCTGTCTCCCTAGAATTTCACTGAATATGATTTTAGTATATTTTGTATTATGTTACTGTAAAAAAATTCTCATGTGCGAGTGTGGGAGTACTTTGTATACTCCAAACAACAATAATATTCAACACTCCATTCTTGACCCTGGAAACAGCTGAACATTTTCAGTTTAAGCTCCATTTACTCGCTGGTTCTGGAGCTTTCAACCATATCACACAGTCTTCATCAGCAGATTGAGTCTTTATCAGTTGTCAGAGTTGTAGATATTCATCTTTACATGTCTCTTTCATTTCATGAATAAGCACTAAATCTGAATTCAGTCTCGTCACGAAGACCATGTGATGCGGTTGAAAGCTCCAGAGGGAGTGGATGAATGCGCCCTGAGTTGAGTAGAACTTTCTATGTTTTAAATTGACCATGACAAATTAGCCTTTTAAGGTCCAGTGTGTGGGATTTAAAGGCATCTATTGGCAGGAATATCTATTATTCATAGATTAGTTTATGATTACCTGAAACTAAGAATCAAAGTGTTTTCATTCACTTAGAATGAGCCCTTTATAGCAACACATGAGGCGGGTCCTTTGCCCCGGCAGGCCCTCAGGAAGTGTGCTAGGCTTTGAAGCCAATTTTCATAGTGGCTAAATAGTGTAATTAAATCATCACATGATGCCGTTGGGCCTAAAATGACTTTTTCCCATAGACATAAATTGTGAAAGAGCTGTCTTTAAATCAGTGGATGCATTTTTTGAGTATCACAAACCCCCTGAAATGACTTGTTCTACCATCAGGATTTGATCCATTTGGTCCGATAACATTTGGAAAGTCTAGAAAAGCCAAATGAATGAATTACTTTATCCCCAGTCAAGATAGCGGAGCGCTAAATTGGAATTAGCTGGCTCGGCTTGCGAAAGTGTCTAGCGCACCTGCTCTATGTGCCGCATCGTTTCAAAGCAGTGCCGATCATCTGAGTAATTTTACATGCGACATTTTACCTTTTTTGGCATAGTCATACACAGTTCTCTTAACACAGTCATTTTGCACAGAGTTTGTCATGTTGTTCTAAAGTAGTCCAGACTGGACAAACTAAACACTGACTCTAGTCGTCCACTGTGATCCTTTTACATGCTTGCCACACGGGAGAAGATTCAGTTCTGCAACCTCACCACTAGATGCCACCAAATCCTCCACACTGGACCTTTAAGCGTGATATAAAATTACCTGTAGCTCCATTCTTCCTCAGAAGTGCAGAAATTGTCATTTTCACTAGACACCTAATTTGTACCCACACGTGAACGTGCCGTGCGATGTTTGGGATATTGGATTTCCTTCCTTTTGGGCGAAACTGACAGAAAACGAGGGATTATGATTCTTATATGCTTTGCTCCCAAATTGACACCATAATGATGCCAAACACACCATATGGCACTGTGCTCCTGATCTGATCATCTAACTTATTCATATTAGAGCAGAAGTGAGCTCAAAGCCGAGCAACCTGGGGGGAGTGAGCAGCCAAACACAAGCTCGGAAGAACGGCCTGCCATTATAAACGTGTTCGCACAGCAGAATTAAAACTGTGGCATCAAAGACACACAATAGGCGGTCGTGTTGCTCCAGTGAGAGTGATATGAATACTTATGAGGACTTTTTTTTTTTTTTTTTTTCTTCAAATAGAGCGGCTGGTCTGGCTTTTGTTCCCTGGTGTGTTTACCCCCTCCGCTGGCGCCTATTAAAGGGCTGAGCTTTCAGTCGTGATTTATAAGCTGAATAAAACAAGATAGCATTATTCTGCTTACAGATGGTATAAAAATCAGTTCCTGTGAGTTACGACGGGCCCTTGATGTGTATGTCCACACACACACACACACACACACACACACATACACAGACACACACATGTTATGTCCATGCACGGTTGTCCAGCAGTGATGGCTTTGACAGCAGTTCATATGTTGACAGTTTTATAAGCATTCATTGTTTATGTACCTGAGATCAATATTTCATACATGACAAGACTTGTTTGTGACAAGAGGCTGACACTTATTACACCTTATATCATTCAAGTATAGGTCAATATATGCTACAGTATATACAGATTATAAGCTGCAGTACAGTACAGTATATCTAAGCTACAGTATCAGTGTGTGTCAGTATATTATGTGACATCCCAGACTTAAATATTACTCTAAAAAAATAAATCTGTTTTTATTTGCACTGTCAGCTCCAGACGTTAAAGTTCGAGTTGAAGTCAGGAGGCCTCTTCAGCTCTGCGGCCACCCACTTCTAGCAGGCGATAAAGCGTGTGAACAGATGCCCACAGGCTTGTTATCGGCCCTGCTGGCCTGCAGCTCCTGCACACACACAGACCCTTCTGTGTCTTGCAGAAATACCACCCAACAATAGTGTGACGGCAGGTGGCACTCTGTGGAGTCACGTGGAAATGTAATTGGACTTGTTTTAAACTGTGCTTCAAGACACAGACAATGAGCGTGTGCGCAGTTGAGTACACCTGAGTAGTCATAGCATTGCCTCGTGTGAACCTGAGTGTAGATAAAGTAGCAGCACGTCTTCAAAGTGTCCAGATCCCGTGGACTGTAGGGCTAGTTTCCATGGCAACCATGCTGACAGGCAGGTTTATGCATCTCTGCTCCTATCCAGAGCCGGGTCCAGGGCAGTGGTGTTGTCAATAAAAAGAGGAGGGACCCTCCATTCTTCATTCATTCAGGAATGTGAAGGAAGAGGAGGAGGAGGGCTGAAATGGCTTCTGCAAACACTCTGTGGCAGTTTTTGTCGGGGCTTCCCCTCAAATGTTAATGATTTATAAAGTCCGTATGTGTTTCCAGGAGCTGCTCGCCCTGTTGTGGTTATCTTTGGAGGAATATAGGAGTCCTGAATGTGCCTTGATGAGCGTAGAGTTTCTAGAGTGGACCTCACTAGTCGCCGTCTAGAAACTGTGTGTGGAGGTGTGTTGCTGTGATATGCAGGGCCACACAGCGACCATGATGGAATGTCTCTAGTGCTGGCTAGTCTGAGTTCTGCTTTCTATACCTATAACTCAAAGATTTGTGATACAAAGAAACGTCCTGTGAGTTGTGTCGAGAGGCCCCTTTGGCCCCTGTGGAAAGATGTTGCAATGGTCTAAGAGTGACTTTTCTACTCTTTTTCTGTAACTATTTTTTGATCCAAACTTATGACGATAACTGTGTTTCAATGTGTTTTGTCTGTTACTCCTCCCTTCTCTTTGCTTTCCCAAACATGACTCCTCTCTCTCCCTTTTGTATAAGGGCTTGTGGATAAATGTGTGTCGATGTGAAGAATCGCTGTCGTGGTGCAATCTAGAAAATGTTTGGGAAATCAAGGAAGCCTCATTCCGCAAACAGCATGTGAAACAGTCAGTGAGATGATCCGTTTTTAGCGCAGGAGCTGCTAAGTGATTTCCACCAGGAACCTGCTTTATGCGAAGGTGGGTGAATGATAATGAGGCAGATAGATACGAGAAACACTCTCATCAGCCCTGAATTCTATTATTGGGTGTGATTATTCAGAATACTAAAAAGCCAAAACGTTAAAAGGTATTTCAGCTCCTTCAACTTAAATATGCAACACAGAGACCCGCCCTCACTTCAAACCGGATCATCTCATTGGCTGTTTTATCTGATTACAATCATGTAGACCTCAAGAACTCAGTGACTGTCGCACTGGATTTTTACACTTTTTTCAAACAGTATATATACTATATGCTCTGGTCTAACTGTATTTTTAATACTGCATGTGCATGCAAATAAGAAAATTATGAGATAGATGACTTTATATAAATGTGATCTATTTGTGCTTCGGTGTCCATGACAGGGGTTGAGAGCAGCCGGGGTTGCTTCCGTTTATTTCACCTGCACACTATACTGTGCTTTTCAAAACTCAAGATTGGTACCCCAAAAAAGAAATGTGTGTGTCTCATGTTTTCAAATCAGTACAAGAGAGTTGAAAGTACCTGTGATTCCCTGCTGGTGCAGACCAATTTGTAACAGTCTGAGTGGAGCTCTCTCCATCCTTGTTGTGTGTGTGCTAACAGTTAGCGATGCCCAGGAGAGTCTAGCGGGGATGCTTGTGGAAGACAGATCGCTAGAGGAGGCTGTGCACTAAAGCCTGCATCTCACAGCGAGTGTTGCAGTGGTGGGAACGCTGCCAGCTGGAGTTATGAAGAGGTCTGAAGTGTGAAGTCTCAGTTGTTTTTCCTCCACCTGCATCCCCGACCCTCTGCTGAAAACACACAGGTAGCTTTAAAAGGATTATATTTTCCATCTGTGTGGAATCAGATGAGGCCATAACCATGCGGTACTTGTCAAACAATATGAAATATGTGTAAGGGTGTATTGCTTACACCATATGCAGTATGGTAACTACAAGCACTACGGTGTTCAAGACTTGAGTTGGCATTCGGCTGCTCTCCACCCCGACATGGCCTGCACAGTAGCCTATGTTGCGTTTTATATCCTTTTGAAGCCTCTAAATGTACATGTTTGATATGTGTTTCCAGACTGTAAACTAAATTGTAGATGCAACACATTGTCCTTCTCCAGATCTGTTCATGGACAGCGCAGTAGGTGACACAGCTGGTTGTAAAATGTCAACACTAGATAATTTGTCTAACATAAACAGGGGAGGTGGTTTTGGAGGTATTTCTGTGCTTAGGTGAAGCTCAGGATGTCATTTCATGAGCAGTGTCAGTTTGACTTTTGTTTTAAAGTATTGAGAAAATATGGGGAAATACGCTTATTAGTTTACTTGCTGAGAGTTAGATGAGAAGATTGATACCACTTTCATGTCTGTGCGTTAAACACAGGTCCCCAGGAATGCTGCCTAGCCTAGCTTCCAATTTTTCCCAGTGGTCACTTGTGGTATTGC